AGGCTAGTTTATGTAAACATAGCCTAGATTATGCTTAGCGCGCAAAGAATTAGCTATATTAGCTATAAATGCTATCTAAGGGGAAATTCCTTGCGCATATAGCTTAAGTATAGTCTTAATAATCACCTGCTCCTTTTTATTACCTAGCCTTTATAATTTAGCTATAGAATTAGCTTGTAAAGGTTATCTAGCGCTATAGTTATTTATTATTTTTTATAAGACCTTGCACATAGCTACAGCATATTTCTTTAAGAGTTTTATGTCTTATTTAAAAGCTTAGAGCGTAAGCTGTATCTAACATTCTTTTAGCACGTCTAAGTAGTGTTATGGGGAATACATTAGTGTAGGAAGAGTAGTTTAGTAGGGTCTTAGCAAAAGTAAGCAACTTAGGTGTGTGAGCAACTCGCCTGTGAAGTACGTTAATAAGTACTTTATTTTATTACGCTTTACTCTTATAGTTTTTAGTATCTCTACTATAGCTACTAACTGTAAAAGGACTTTTTCTAAATTAGGTAATTTATTAGAGATAAGATAATTATGTATAAAAGTAAATTTTTTATTTACTTTATAATTACTATATAGCTAAAAGCGCCTTAGCTTAAAGCCTATAACAGCATTAAATAGTTCTTATAATAACAGTATCTTTTCTAAAGAGCTTAAGACTATTTATAATATCTATAGTTAATTTAATATGCTGTAACTACACTATAAAGCTATTAATTAAGTTAAGTTAATTAATTAAGCTAGCCCTTTTTAAGGCTATTAAGTTAATTAAGTTAAGCAAAAGCTGCTAAATTTGTTAATTAATTAAGCTATTTACCTTAACTTAATTAACTTAATTGTTGCCAACTCTGCTGGCAATCACCTAAGTTCGGTTTCGAAATATGGTATTTAAAAGTGGCGTCGTGCCTCTGGGGATAATACTGAGTGAAGCCACACAGCCTAGGGCAACATTCACGCTCGGGAAGCAGCCGTTCGGCGTCGTGATCCAGACGCTTGACCACTGAGTGTTAAGGGGCTCTTGTAGGGACACCAACCTGCAACATCAAGGCAAGGCGAGCTATAGCGGGAGTTATTGCAAATAGAGACGTGGTGTAAGCATGCAGCTATGTAGAAAGCTAATGAAGTGAAGTGTATTGTTCTAAGTCTAAATGCTCTGTTGCAGAGTATTTATTTACATCTATGGTGGCAGGGGTAGTGAGGGCTCTGATCTCAATAGGGTACCCTGCTAATACAAGCAGAATGTTGGTGTAAACTACTATAAAACAAGCCTGAATTTAACATTGGGCGAGATATGCGATCTTTCCCGTTGGGTGCGAGCTGAAACCAGGAACGGGATATTCGAACTAGATACCGCGCACGTAAGTGCTGCGACGCGGCAAGCGGCCGCAGCGATTGCGCCAAGGAATGTTGAGGAAGTTACAGGACAACGTTGTGATGTCTCTTCTATCTGCGCTAATAGCCTTAAGGCTTTCTTGAAACTGCGAAGGATGCAGGAAGATTATTTTGGAATGTATGAAGCGGTTGATTAGAGGCGTAACTGTTCGTTCTCGCTCCGTTAGCTATGTCCTTGTTATATAATCAACTACTAGATATTCAAACCAACGTCGGCCTCCGCCCTGAAATCATATATGCCGTCTCTAGTCTCAGCCTTACTTCTTCTTCCCCGGAAAACTCAATATCGCTGTGAGTGAGGCTGTGTCAAAGCCGCAAACACAAATTAGCGACCTACAATGACCTGTTATTTTCGCCAGGCCTACGTCATCAATAAACTATATCTCAATAACACGCAAAGAAATCGCTTCAAACCCTCTAAGGTGATTTGCTCTCCAATCTCAAAACACTCTCCCAAGAGAATGGTTCATGCCGGCAATTGAATAAGCGATGATGCGATAGGTCGGCGACATGGGTATTTTGAAGGAATTGTGCGGTAATTTGCTTGATATGACTTCCGCCCCGCACTCGGCAAATCAAAGGAACGTCTGGAAGGAGGACATAAATGCGACGATTGGTACTGAATTACGGATCTGGATCTCGGATTTGGTTGTGCATTTCGATTCCGCATTTCTCACACCACCCGCCGTATCTGCACATCTCAATTCGCGTACCTGCATTCATTAGCCTGCTTCTCGATTACTTCGAAGATGTGGCTCTCCCTCCTCACCCTAGGCCTTCTGTCCAACACCATCTGTGCTCTCAAGATCGCAACTTCCCTACAATGGATCGAACACACGCCGCAACCTTGGGCCATAAAAAACTTCTATAAAGGCGACAGCGCTGCCTCCCTGACGAGTGGAGGTGTCGCAAACCTCGCCTCAGATAAATCATTCGATCTCGCCGCTAATGCCGAAACCCAGGGTCTAAAGCAATATGCCGGACACAAGAATATCCGGCTGATTTACGTGGTCTGTGAAGTCGCGTATCGGATTGTTGCGAATAAAGCGAGTGGGATAACGAAGTTGGAGGATTTGAAGGGAAAGAAGATTGGGACAATGGCGGGGACGAGTGCTGGGGTGTTTGTGAGTAAGATGTTGGGCAGCGTTGGGTTGAAGGAGAGCGACTATACGGTTGTGAATGGGAATGTTTGTATGAAGGCACCGTGTGGGAGTGGCACTTTCCCGCAGATGATCTCCAGCAAGCAGATTGATGCCTTTGGAATCTGGGAGCCTGCTGTTGAACTCGGTGCGCAAGCGTTGGGAAGCAATGCTGTTATTTTCCAGAACGGGTCGATTTACAGGGAAGTGTATAGTTTGTACAGCACAACCGAAAAGCTCAATGATCCGGCCATGAGGAAGAATATCGTCGCGTTTGTGAGGGCGCTGAATGAGACATTGAATGTTTTTACGCACAAACCAGAGACGGTATATGCAACGGTTGCGCAGGCCGTCGGTATGGATGTCTCGGTGGTCAAGGATGTGTGGCCGGATCATAAGTGGAGCGGGACTTGGGGACCAGATCTCTTAGATTTCTTGGTTGAGGAGGACGCCTACCTCGCGAAGAAGGATGGGAGGGCTGCTGTGTCAAAGGCGGATTTGGAGAAGTTTCTCGATACGAGTATTATCGGGGAACTATGATAGTAGCTTGGAAGCAAAGTTGGACGAAACATGTATATATTTCCGAAAAACCATGGTCAGCTTAGCTTACTAAGTCTGCCGTACTGGTGTCTACCACGGATTTACTAGAAGGACTTAAGATAACGAGTAGGCTGTATGGATTTGCAATGACGGTACTAGGATACAGACGATTACTACATTTTAAACCGTAAATGTCCCATCGGATGCATCCACATGCAGTGTTACCACCTCGCTTTGTGATGTCAACACCCATATCAACATCTCATTACGAGGTATAGGGCCTGGCAAGCATTCGGGTAGGAAATTGAAATGCTGCAACTATCAAAATTGTTTCGGAGCAGTTCCCTTCATGTATCGAATTCAAAATTGCCTGCTTCTAGTTGGTGTTCGGAGATGGCCACCGTTGCTGCGCAACATAAGGGTTTGTTTAGTTTGTGCAGTTGCCGTGGCTGCTCTTGCATTAGCTGTGAGAAGAGGCCGGAAGAGAAGGTACGAAGTATGATATTATGAGGGTGGTGGCAGCACGATGGCGGGGAGGATTTTTGGATTGCCGAGACGAACGTTACTGCTCAAGAAATAGGGACTTGCAACACCGACGGAAAACCCGGGTCCTAATACAAGCCGCCGGCGCAACATTGACAGGTCAAAGGAAACTAACGTAGATGCGTGGGAATGATCCCATTGGCTCAATCACTCCTCTTACGGCCTCCTAGCCCTCGTCCTTGATCCGTCGGCAACCCCACGAAGTTGTCAAGGGAAGATAGGACTCCAATAGGGATACAGATGGCTGCCTAATGCATTTCAGGGCTCCCAATTGAAGCATACCCGGCAATGCTATTGGCTGATTGGAGATCTTCCATACCCTGGTGTTGAAGTTCCCCACTGACCGGCGATATTCCATGCACAGGTGCTGAAGTTCCCTACTAACCGGCGATGCACGCTTTGGTCAAAAGACAGCCACCAGGGTGTTTTACCCCTGCTTCGCATTGAGGTGAAAGTTGCCGTCGCGATATATCGGACTTCGCTGAGGGAGTCAGCTTGATGTGGATAGAGACGAAGTTTATGCTTTGGTGGTGTGCAGCAGCGTGGAAATAGAGGCTTGGAGAGTTTCCTGGGCGAAGGAGAGTTCACTACAGAATCTCCCGCATCGTAAATTATCCAGTTTCGTACCGCACATGCAGGTCAGGCGCAGTTCCTACTTCTCCGCCTTCAGTAAGGAGAGGAGTGCATTGATGGGTTTTATGGTTTTAGTTTCGAGTTCGACAATGTCTTGATTACCTCACCCTACCGCCCTAGAAAATGGGGTTGTAGAATTCGGGCATTTGAATACTATAAATAGCTTTTAAGAGCTGCCATCTCACACAGGAATTTTTACTCCACTAATACCCTCGCAAATCCGTAGCAACCTCTCCTGGGCCTCAACGTCATCGGCAACGGACTTTGGACTGCTCTCCTTCCTCCCGGGGCCAAAATATCTTCCATTCTCCCCATTTTCTCTGCCCTCGGCAAGCATGACATATGTCTCAACCGCGGCATCTAAGCTCCCAATGGCACTCGGACCGCCCATCTTCGTTGGCACCCAGCCGGGATCTAGCGAATTGGCCTGAACGTCAGGCCAACGTCGCGCAAATGCCTTTGCGAACATGACATTGTGAAGTTTGCTGTCACAGTATGCCTGTGTACTATCCCAACCTACCTCACCTCTTTGTTGCCATACGACATCCCGTAATCCCCCATCGCCGCTGTAGTGCATCTCCGAGCTCACGAAAACGAACCGCGTCGGCCGCTTGAGTAGGCACGTGAGGATGTATGGAGCAATTGTATTGACAGCGGCGACGGCTGGTATGCTGTCAGCAGTCTTCCGGAAGGGCCCGAGGTACAACCCAGCGTTATGCACGACACAGTCGAATTGTCCGAGTTTGTTTACGTCTTCAGCAAAGGCGATAGTGTTGGCGATCGAGGAGAGGTCGCCGGTGACAATAGATTCGGCATTGGGACATGCGGCGGAGGCGTCTTGGGCGCGTTGAGCGCTACGAGCGTGTAGGACGACCGAGTGGCCGTTGGCCAGGAGGCGCTTCGCGGTGAGGAGGCCGAGGCCATCAGACGAGCCAGTGATGAGGATACGAGCCATAGTGGTATGAAAGAGCTGCGGTCGAAGATACACTGGATTGGTGGTCGTGCGCTTTACGTTGAGCGTCAAGTCGATGTTAAGCAGTCCGAGATGGGGATTGAGATTGCGTCATGGCCTTCTCAGCCACCACGGTATTTGCAGGGAGAATGCCGTATCCCCAGGGAGCAGCATGCATGCGTGTCACAGTTAACAGCTCTGGTCGGGAGGCGGCGATCTAAATGGGATTATTCAGTGAATCGGAGTGTCGTCGACGGAGGTTTGGATGAAAAACGTCCTGCTGCTGTCGCGGCTCAACAGTTTATCCGAGCTTACCTAATCACACAGTGAAAGCAGCCTAAGACTCTCATCCCGTCACTACCTCACTGCCCTTCCGTGAGAAGTTATTGGCTGACTACGATTTCAACTAGAACCCAACGTTATGCGCTCGATTTTGAACACAATGATTCTCATATAAGGCTATTTTTGGAACTTTGAAAGAGGAATAGCTGAGGGACGAGTCTGGTGTCCGCTGTGAAAAGACCAACATCTGCCAACCAGATCTATCGTCCACCTTTCTTAACACTGTGAGCAGAAACTGTTAGGAAAATTTGCATCCTCAGACGGAGCTTGCCCGTCAATGGTCGACATCGCGTATTTATTTACGCTACTGGCTTCATTTGTTCCCACTCTCGGAGTGTTGTGCGTGACTCGGTGTTCCATCTAATCTCCATCTGTTTATCTTGTAAAACCTTATTCCGACATCATCTCTTCAAAGGTTGGTGGAGCCTTGCTCGGATTTGTGACGTCGGCCGGAATGGATTCGGAAAAGAGCTTAACGCTTTATCCCCGGACAAAGCTTCCCCTAGCTTTTGAGACCCTTGTCTGGACTTAAACCTTGAGGCTCTAATCCCCATTGGAACGAATGGGGGCCTCTGGTGCAAAGAGACCACAAATAACACCAATCATGGATCCCAATTATGATTTCCCCCCTGTAGGATTCTGGGAATAACAGCTACGGCTAAGTCGGCACTCGGGATGGGTCACGGTCGACTTTTCGGGTAAGATGTCCCGCGACTTTTCTGCCACACTTAATCTTGACTCAGTTTATCGGTATCAATAAGGCCGACACGGATATCTTTGAGCCATTTAGTGGGCGGATATTCCGATGTTTCGACTCGATCTCTTCACTAACACGCCCGTCAATATTGCGTCAACTCGATTAGCTCATGGCCATCCCCTCGGGATATTGCCCTTAGTTCCCCCACAGATCCTACAGAAAATGTTACCGTAGCATATCGTGGGAGTCAAGATCTTTTTTTTTCCACGCCATGGAGATTTCTCAAGTTCCGCTCTCACATTCCGGGTCCCAAGCGAAGAACGCAGAGAATGCGTCCCCACTTGCTGATGTAGAGAAGAATGAGGATGGAGGCACCCTTCATCCGGATGTGTCTGAGCCCCCGTACTCGATTTTTAGCACGAAAATGAAGATGTGGATTATCTTCCTTGTCTCCATCTCGGCGCTCATATCGCCATTTGGAGCAACCACCTTCTATCCCGCATTGAATGTTCTTGCAGAGAAGCTCGATGTTTCTCCAGCCATGGTGAACATCTCACTCACGACATATATGGTGCACCTCCTTCGATTCTCATTAAACCATCTGCTGACCTTCGCAGATTGCTCAAGCCATCGCACCGTCGATCATTGCCGGAATGTCTGACAATAGTGGACGCCGTTTATCGTTCATTGTATGCTTCGCCATCTTCATCGTTGCCAATATCGGCCTCGCTTTGCAAACTAATTACGCCGCCTTGCTTGTTCTACGAATGGTCCAGGCCACCGGCTCCAGTGCTTCCATTGCTCTATCAGTTGCAGTTGTGGCGGACGTGGCGACCTCCGCTGAACGAGGGCAATATATGGGTTATGCCACTGCTGGGCTTCTCTTTGGGCCGGCCTTCGGCCCAACCATCGGCGGTGTGTTGGCCCAATACCTTGGGTGGAGATCAATCTTCTGGTTTTTGGCCATCTACGCTGGCGTGCTCCTTGCCATGTTCACCCTGCTCTTTCCTGAAACGTGCCGGAACGTCGTTGGGAACGGTTCCACACTAGCGCGGGGGGTGAATCGCTCCCTGGTGAGCTACCTTCAGGAACAGAACTTTTCTGGTCCGCCATCCCCCATCGACAGCAATCCTCCTACAGCTACAGGAAAGCGTGGATTCAATTTCCCAAATCCTCTTGGGACATTACGGATTCTTGGAGAAAAAGAATCTTGTATCGTTCTTCTTTACAACGGCCTGTTCTTCACTGGGATGATGACCACCACGGCCGCCGTCCCGGAGCTCTTCAAATCTGCCTACGGCCTTGACGAACTTAGAGTGGGTCTCTGCTATATAGCCCTTGGTACCGGCTCGCTGATCTCCGCTCTCACGATGGGACACGTCGTCGACTGGAATTTCCGTCGACATGCGAAGAGACTCCAGATGCCAATCGCAAAAGGAAAACAGCAAGATCTCCGCCATTTCCCGATTGAGCTAGTCCGTCTTCAAGTAGTTGTCCCAGGGCATCTGATCGGCACAGCTGCGTTGCTGATGTTTGGTTGGAGCATCAAATTCAATACCCATATTTCCCTGCCAGAAGTTGCGCTCTTCTTCATCGGCTTTGGCATCTCGACCGCTTTTAATATCACTAATACTTTGCTCGTCGACCTTCATCGTAATCAGCCTGCCACTGCTACTGCCGCAGTGAATTTTGTGCGATGCCTCATGTCGGCTGGGGGCTCAGCGGCTATCATCCCTATGTGTCAAGCTATGAACGCCGGATGGGCATTTACCCTTATAGCGCTGATTTACGTGATCTTGGTCGCGGCGGTGTTCTGGATTATGAGGAAAGGAATGGCGTGGAGGGAAGCGGAGGCGAAGAAGTTGTTGGGGGATGATAAAAGAGGTGAACTGGATTCGAGGAATGGCCATTCTAAGAATGTGCTGGTGGAAGCCGAACGTCCTATCAACGAGACCAGATATGGTTCGGGGGAGACAGCCAAAAAATAACCTCAACCGTTGAATCAAAATCGAATGCAGGTGTGGCGCCTATGGCGCTTTATCGTACTACAGGACTCTAGCTCACTAAGATGTAACAAATTTGAGGGCAAAGTAAAAAAGTAGGGGAAATCCAGGTTAACGGACATTTAAGCATCCTCGGGCGAAAACGGTATCATTAGTTCCGCTGCACAGCAAGTCTTCGACCCACTATGAGTAGTTCTCTAGGCAAGTGGGTAATATTAGGGGTCGACGGACGACACCGATAGTCGGGCCACCATCGCTTTGGAAATGAGCCGTGAGATGAAGCAGGTAGAAGAAATCAGACACTGGTGGGAAGCTGAGGTCTTGTGTATCTGTTGTCATGAAACTATTCAAGTTCAAGTAGGAGGGTGAAGGAAGGTGTTGGGTCGAGCTTTTCCATTTGGTGTAGGGATATGAGTAGATAATTCCTCAAACCTCAGATTTCTCTCTCTGGATGTCTCATTCCAAATATACCTATTTTGCTTCCTTGTAGGTATATCAACCAAAGTTCGGCGTGATGCGATGCGTTTTGCAACTACCTCGGAATCAGGTAGCCGGTCCTCAACGCTTTAGCCGTACATCTACTCAGGTTTTCTATTTACCCTAGACAATTAATGCCAAGTCTCAATGGAATTGAGACGGGTTTATTGACCTAACGTTGGTATCTTCTTATAATAGAACTCTCTGCTCTTAAAATATGCTTGACACTGCTAACGTCACAGCGTTCGGCCCGCTGCGGTAATCTATCCACAACCGCCCTGAAACGCCTCTCGACACTATGAGAGAACAGTTTTAGAACAAATTAGAAGGCTTTCTTTTATAAGGAGCCTTGGACTCATTCCAGGTTTCAACCTTAAGACTTTCGCGAATAGAGGCCAGCTCACGTGACCTACCCCTTGGTGCTGAACCTTGAAAAAGATTGAACCCCTTCAACCTTGGAAACAATGCCGACCCCGTTAAAACAGGCTATCTCCGATAGAACCTCGTTCGTCGAGATCGGGGTTGTACTCTTTGACACTAGGATCCTAATAATAGACATGTCAACCCAATAAGATTCCCCCACCATTCTAGTTGACGTCAGTTTTAACTTTCCAAGGCCTGTAGGAGTTGCACGAAAGGTAGGGAAGGTATGGAAGAGGGTTATACCGAGCGGAGATTGATATAGCCGGCAGGCAGTTTGCAGACTCGTGAGGTATCTCTCTGGCGATAAGTGTAGCTAACCAAAATACGCTTCAAACGGCGATGGATTTCTTCGCGAAACCTAACTGGTGCTCAGTAGAATCATGTCTCCCTGCAATCTTGCTTCGGTGCCTAGTCAAAAATTTCAAGTTTTCAGTGATGATTCCAAGCTGTGTTAGATTTATCTACTCTTCACTATATATATTCATGTTCTGACTGCACCGTTGAACTTTCATTCTTTCTCAGAGAGTTCCACCAACGCAAGTGTCACTAGAACTTCTCCTACGGTTTTTCTTTTCTCCGCTATTATCATCCGAAATGGTTGGCCGTTCCTTAACGATTAGTTTTCTGTTGGCATATGCTGGGCTGGCCCAGTGTGCTATTGGTATCTCTGATGGTCGCCGTCTGGCTTCTGGCGCATCAGCCTTGACACCGGCCTCCACAAATTCTCCTCCAGCTCCTGTAAGTGAAGCAGCGCCTCTTTTTAGCAAACTATAGAATCAACAGAGGAGAATAGCCTGTCGCACCACCCGCACCCGTTGCTGCTCCACCAGCTCCAGCAATGAATCCTCCACCGCCACCAAATCCGGCTGCTGCATCTCCACCTCCACCCCCCACCCCTATGAATGGAACGTGTGCAGCTGCCCCTCCACCCCCTCCCGCTGGTGCTCAGGCGCCTCATCCTCCTCCACCGGGAGCTCCACCACCGCCACCACCACCTTCCGGAGCTCCAGTGGCTTCTATTCCCCCATCCGGAGCCGCCGCTCCACCCTCTCCTCCACCCTGTCCTCCTCCTCCTCCTGGCCCTCCAGTACCAGCTGCGGCACCCCCATCTCCTCCAACTGTGAACATAACTGGGGCGCAACCTCCACCCGCCCCACCAGCCCTCGCTCCGCCACCACCTCCTCCTGGATCTGCTGCTCTCGCCGAACCCTCCACGCTACCATCCGGTGCTCCTGAGCCCCAGCCTGTATCTCCCGATTCCCCTGCGCCCCCGCCTCCGCCCTCAGGGACTATGGCACCTCCAAATCCACCCTCTGGGGCGCAAATAGCATCTGAAGCAGCAGCTCCTCCACCTCCCCCACCAGGACCTATGGCACCTCCACTTCCACCCTCTGGGGCTCCAGTACCGCCCCCTTTTGCGTCTGGAGAAGCAGCCCCAGAGCATCCGCCTCCGCCTCCACCTTCCCCGCCAATGGCAACAGCTTTGCCTTCATTCAGTCTCATACCATCTTCGTCTTCAGCTATAGCATCAAGCGTACCATTAGCAGATCGCTTTGCATCCCAGTCAGTGAATCTGAAGTCTCCCAGGAAAGGACTTTGTTTCGCATTCCTAGGCTCCGCTCTCTGGATTTTGTTGCTGTGATTGAGTAGGTGAAGGAAATAAGTGACAGTGGGGAAGGTGATCGTACGAGCGAGGATATTGGAAATCGTGATTACAATAGATTGGACTCGTTTTATGGCACAACACACTCGCTATTCATGGATCTGGTATCCTAAAATACATCCCATAACTGCACTGTAGTACTCTTTGCCAGTGTTTGAACACGTTCTGTCACAGAGAGACCTCATAGTCACATAGCTTGATTAGGTATTCTGTTTGCAGTTACGGAGCTCTCCAAGTTCTAGCCACGCCACCTGCTGCAGCCTAGAGCTATTTGTGGCCTTAAGTCACATGACGGGTTCATCTAGTACTATATGAACCTGTAGTTGCCCTCTTTTAACAATCAATCCAGTTCCTCATGCTTCTGGTGTTCCTCCTAGCTTCACATATTCCCTGTCGAATTCCCTTCCTTCCTTGGCAATAACTCAAACTTGCACAATTGCTCCTTCATCACGGTATGCTCCCCCACCCATATGTATGTGTGACATTAAAATTTTAAAGGCCGTAAGAGTAAGAATTGCAATAAGCTATAGTATTCTAAACTCGGCCCCGGAATGCCGCACCCGAACTGATGGAACGTGCACAGTAATACCAATATCATTCTGAATATTTAGCGCTTTCATATGCATGTTGACACCTTGTAAGTTTTTAGGCTGAGAACGCTCAGCTAGCTCGAGTTCTTGAACTCATTCCTCCCCTCAAATTACCACGCGAAAGAAGTCTACAGACAGTGATTTACGGCGCCAATTCTGTAAGGGTTGAACACCGTTTCTCCAAGGAACGATCATAGTTTCTCTGATGGGCAAGCATCGGGCTGGTCTTGGTCTTTCATGCCTCGAGAGGAATTCATCCCGTATCAGGAAAACACAGGTTTCTGAGGGCTCAACTACCAGTGCTAGACTCTGGGAGAGCGCCAAAGTCATTCATAGGCGGAGACTAGATATTCCACCTTAAGTAATAATAAACCAGGTAAAGGGTTTTACTAAAATAATGAATAAGATTCAAAAAAGCTGGAGTCCATCGCAATATCGCGAGGTGGTAAATTGCGGCAACCTCCTACCGTCAATTGATGTTTCTTGAGAGAACAATATCATAGGGTGGATAGTGTAGCTCGGCGCTACCCTTACCCTCTATAAGCACAACCTTACTCAAAGGCCAGCCATTCTGATCCGTATACCTAATCACCCAAATCTGTCAGATCATTTCATCCCTAGTTGCATATAATTGACCACGCGACGCAAAACCCTGGACAGACGCACTTACCCGTCAAAATCGAACCAATCGCAAACCTCCAACCCGGGCAGTATCATCCTCCAGACCTGCGCTCCAGGGCCAAACTCCTCGTTCTCACCAGCTCCTTCTGCTGGCGTAAGCGCTACCCCTTCTGGCGTTGACCACAATCTCGGTCCATCATTGCCTTCCCATCCCAGCCGATCCAAGCCCTCCAATGCGCTCGTACCATTGATGGTAAGCTCTCGCAAGTACAATATTTGGTCTTTGACCTCCAGCCTACCATAAGAAGTCTTATTCGAACCGGCACCCTCTGTTTCCTCTGGAATTGCGCCTCCATCCCTCCCGTCTGTATAGGAACCGGCAAACCGGTCTTTCATTCTCTCTGTTAGAACCTCAGCAAATGCTGGGATCAAAAATTCATGGATGGAGTTCCGCACGCTAGTCGGCACAATGCGCGCATACTCCGGTAATCCCGAGTGCTGTGAAAGCACCACGATTCCATATCCAAGGTTTGGAATGACATCTATCCAAGCGTGGAAGCCGCCGCCATCACCGGATTTGCCGTACGAGGCATAAGTTTTTGATTGTAGCGAAGTGGAGACGTCGCTGGAGGAGGATATTGTTATGAGGTCGATTTCCCAGCCTGGTCCAGCTTGTTGTTTACCGTCTGGGAGAGAAATCGTGGGTCTGAGGATGCGACGACGTTGTGCCGAGGTTATAAGGGGCAACGGCTCTGGACAAAGCCAGATGTGGTGGAGGTACTTTGTAAGATCATTGGCTGAGCTCTAACATCTGTATTATTAATGCGGTCACAAAGTCAATATTTGGGGATGGTGAACTACGCACCCACATCCCAACAGCAGGGTCGTAACCAAGGCCTACTATTAAATCAACAAAGTTGGGGCCTCCGGGAATGCCGATATAAGGGATCAGCTCCAGTGGTATAGTGCCGAAGAAACTGTGAGTCAGGTTGAGCGGGGCTAAGATCTCTTGCACTGCAAATTGGGTCCATGTCAGATTGGACCCATGGAGATTATTGTAGTATGAAACTACAGCGGCTGAAATAGAATATTAGTATGCTTGATCATAAGCTCGAACTTAGCACGACTCACACGCAAGAATGGCGATCCCAGCATTTGAATCTATCGTGTAACGTAAGTATAATCGGAATTGCTGGAGAATCCTCACGGTCAGAGTGTGAATTTCTTACATCCAGCTCGCTGGCCTGGGGCGAACATGAGGTTTGTCTTCCTCGTGCTTTCGAGAAGTTGAGCAGAAGTTGAGCTAGCCCACAAACCCCCAATCGTGGGAGCATCAGCCTTCCCCGATCCAGTCACCATATTAAAAGGGGTAAGGTAGCTTTCCCTTGGAAGGCCAGAAGTATGGCTTGCAAGCATTAACAGGGTAATATCTCTACCACCACTTAACCAATCTTTCTCAGGCAAACCAAACTCCGGGAGAACAAGTCGCACAGGAGTGTCTATAGTTAATTCCGGAAAAGCTGTCTGTAGTTTGCTTTCATTTTCGACAACAAGAGCCGACAACGTAGCGAAGTTCTTGGATACTGACACCACCCGGAAGATGGAGTCGCTGGTCACTTTCTTCGTGCGGTTTGAGGCAGTCTCATTCATTTTAAGATTGCCATGATTGAACGCAAACGCTTTCTCGGGACTGGAAGCATGGGCCTGTACGCTGGGGGTTAAAGAAGAACAAGGCTACGAGAGGATCCACCACGCTTTGAAGGTCTCAAAACAATACTCACAACTGCAAAACTGAACCCATCACGGGTAGTATTGACAAACAAACTAGATAGATTTTGCTCTACTGCTTTAAATGCGGCAATTACTTTTGGATGCTTTAACACTGCCGGATCGGAAAGTAGTTTGCTAGGAATATCCGGTATGCATGCAGAAGAAACTGTGGAGAGCAAAGGACTGAAAAGCATTAAATAGACGCCTGCGGAGCGCCAAAGGGGACGCATATTGAACAATATGGTAGAGAGGGAAACGTAAGTGAGAAAACAGCTGGCCGATCAGAGTTCCACGAAAGAGAAACCCCTCATTCCTGAGATAGCTAGTGCAGGCCAAGATTTAATGTTGCATTGTTACAAGTTGCTCTAGCCAATTACACTACGGCTACGCGCCCAGCAGTTACACCTTCCTATTATAGATATTTACACGTCTCATCGGCAATTCTAACGTTGCTTTCTAATCAAATAGAGAGCGTCTCGGAAAATGAATTTGCTCAAAAAGAATAATAATTGTGGTATCCGCTCGTCTCCGACATCCTACAAATTTGCGGCTTTGCGGCGATGTTATGTGAAGCTTTCGGTAGTCGCCAGAAGCATGAGGAACTAGATTGATTGCTAAGTGATTGTATCCCAGGGTATATATATACAAGGAGTGAGCTGGGCGGCAGGGTCGTCAGCATTTAATTATAGTAGGCAGTAGTAGGTCTTGAAAACGAGTATATGGTGGAGCTCGGAGAGTTCTATTACCGCAAACGGGTTAGCCTACTTTATAAGAGTGATATATAGTACAAGTCCTATTCTATGGGTTAGACTCCTCCAGCCTAAGAAGGGACAGACGGACCCAGAACTACGCCATTGCCCATACCTAGCTGGGGTTCAAAGAGAAGAACTGCCTATAGAAGTTAACTGGGACATGCCTCTGACTCCCCCCAGAGAGTCCTCGACCCGGCCTGAGGCACATGACATCCCGTTACGAGCCCTAGTACCTAAATCTCCTTTCTCGAACCCCTAAGTCTCTTTAAGGATTCGCCTATCCATACTATCCTATACCGCCCTTCTGTGCTTCATATTTCCTACATACAGTTGTCAGATTGAAGCACTGTTTCTGGGCTTCCTGAGATGAATGATGGGTTTGGATATGATGTATGGGATGATTATTTGATTGTATTGATTGTGTTGATTTATCGATCCTTTTTCTGCTCTACTCGTGTTGCTCGGCTTTTTGTTTTGCCGATCCGAGTCCCTCGCGCACTTGCCCTATGCGCGACCAGCTTGCAACATGCTGCAATTTGCTGCAAATTGCTGCAAAATGCTGCAAAATGCTGCAACATGCTGTAAAATGCTGCAATTTGCTGCAACATGCTGTAAAATGCTGCAACATGCTGCAACATGCTGCAAAATGCTGCAATTTGCTGCAACATGCAGCAATTTGCAGCAACATACTGTTCGAGCTTATTGCTCGTACTATGTAGCAGCTTTCGTCAAGCGTTCCTCCTGTCTTGACAGTAGGTGCGCATATCTGACAACAGTGCTCTTATACAGCCAGCCGCCAAAAGTTTGGTTCACTAAGCCACTAACACGAGCCCCACGCATTCTACCTAGCATTATTGAATTGCAATTATATGTTAACTACATAGTAATTTAATGTAATTTTAAGATTTCTAGTGTTCTTATATACTTAGTATTTAGTCTAGTACCCACACGCGCGCTATAGAGCCAGCCTGTAGGTGTTAAAGCATACTGTAAATAAGCTTTTTAATATAGAAATTAGAAATTAGCTGCTATGCCTTCTTTAATATAGCATAGAACTTTTTCTACTTCTTTATAAAGTATCTAAAAGTATTAAGCTTAAAATGCTATTTATATAATATTCTTTTTAGCTACTACTATATTTACTTAGTAGAGTTAAGATTTAGTAAATAAAGTAAAAAGTTAACATTATTAATATTATAATTAGCTATCTAATTATAAGTATAAAACATAGTGTAAGTTTAAGCACTATTTTATAAAAATTAATTCTAATAATAATAGTTACATAGAAGATCTCTCTTCTACGCTTAAGTATAGCTACGCGCTAAGTATCTTTTATATAGTGTGTTAAAGTCTTTTTTATAACGTACTCTTTAGGCAAGCTGCTTACACACCTAAGTTACTTACTTTTACTAAGACTCTACTAAACTACTTTTTTTATACTAATATATTTCTAATAACACTACTTAAATATACTAAAAGAATATTAGATATAGCTTATACTTTAGGCTTTTAAATAAAATGTAGTACTTTTAAAGTAACATGCTATAGGTATATATAAAGTTTTTTAAAAAATAATAAATAACTAACATACTAAATAACTTTTATAACTTAATTTTATAGCTAACTTATAAACACTAAGTAATAATAAAAAGTAGGTAATTATTAAGCATACACTTAAGCTATATATATAAAGATTTTCTTTTTAGCTAGTAAGTATAGCGAATATAGCTAATTCTTTACATGCTAGGTGTAATCTAGGCTATATTAGCATAAACTAGCTTAGTATGTTTATAAAGTATTATTAAAAGCTTAAAGTAAAGTTTTAAAAATAAGTATAATTAGTAAATATTTTACTTATTATAAAGCTTATTTTATTAAAGTTATATATATTATTATCTTAAATGCTATTTTTAGCTTTAGTATTTTTTATAAATCTAAACTAGCTTTAAATTACTTTAGAAATTTTATAAAAAGCTTTTTAATAGTTATAGTTATACTTAAACTTTACTTTAAGTGTTAAATAACACTTTATAAATATACTAAGCTAATTTATGCTAATTTAGCCTATATTATACTTAGTGTGTAAAAGATTAGCTATATTAGCTATAGCTACTAGCTAAAAAAAAAATTCTTACATATATAACTTAAGTATATGCTTAACAGTTACCTACTTTTTATTATTACTTAGCTTTTATAAGTTAGCTATAAAATTAGCTTATAAAAGTTATTTAGTATATTAGTTATTTATTATTTTTTAAAAAATTTTATATATAGCTATAGTATATTACTTTAAGAATATTATGTTTTATTTAAGAGCCTAAAGTATAAGCTATATTAATATTCTTTTAGCGCGTCTAAGTAGTGTTATTAGAAATGCATTAGTGTAGAAAAAGTAGTTTAGTAGAGTCTTAGCAAAAGTAAGTAACTTAAGTGTGTAAGTAACTTGCCTGTGATGTACGTTATTTAGTAGTAATTTTTATATAGAAAAACACTTAGCTTTGTATAGTAAACTAGCGCTAACAGCGTCGGCAGCAATAGCACTAATAGTGTATAGCTTTTAAAAGTATTCTCTAAGCTTAAATTAAATAAAGATATAAACATGTTTATTATAAATAAAAAATAGTAAAGTAGTGTAGCTAGTAGTATAGATGCTTTAAATTCTAGTAACTTGTTTTTAATTACCTAGCTATATTAAAATAAACTTTTATAACATGTGTAACAATCAGCATGCTCAAGCTACAAGCAAGAGGTGGTGTAACCTAACTAGATTAAACTAAGAAGCAGAGGAGCTGCTCTGCGAGTTTAAGATATACATGTGTGCCCCCTGCTAAGGCGCTACTTGTTGCGCAAGCGAGGGAGCTGAAGCCGCAGAGCATGTGACGCGGTACGCGCCGTCACAACATGGTTTATATATAATCACCGCACCTAAGCCAGCGTTGCAGCATCTCTACTAACACGTCTACATAGTAATATTATAAGATACTACGACAGTTCATAAATGATCTGTAAAAGCAAAGCTTGCTTAGAGCAATAGTTAGCGCATTAAGGTAGGTTATTTAGGTTAAAGAATAGTTACAGCATAATGCTTAGCAAAGTAGTATTAGACAGGTAATAGACGCATAATAACAACATTTAACTGTAGCATGTAACTAATTATAGCCTGTAACTAAGCGTAGCTAATACTAATCTCTAACACACTAATGTAGCTAATTATTTGTAGTAGTAACACTTAGATGCGTTGTTACTATTATTATACAATAGTTAGATATGTTGTCACACAATAGTTAAATGCGTTAGCACTATAGTTGTATACATCTCACTATAGCCTGTTGCCAACACTCACCTACTTATTTTGCATATATATAGACTCCTACAAAGGATTCCTCTAGCAATACATTTAATCTAGTTCCTTATGCCTCTAGTGTCTTACATAGCTTCACAATAATACTAATCCCTAACACACTAATATAGCTTAAAAAAAAAAACTTAAATAATAGCTAGCTAATTCTTAGCTTTAATTAAGTTAGTAAAATTTCTTTTTTAAAAACTTAAAGTTTATATAAATTTAAGATTAGTTATTTAGAAATTAGTTAATTATTAGCTGTAATTAAAAGAACAGGTTCTAGCTCTAGCTCTTAACGCGTTTTTGCTTTTATAATAGTTTTTCTCTTCTTTACACCTTGCAGTCTCTAGTGTTGCGCCTGTTTCTTTTACTACCTAATACTACTATGTTACGCCTAATACTGCTACCTAATATCTTTAATTTAATTATTTTAGCATTAAAGCCTTAGTTGTAGAGCTGCAGCTTATGTAGTTTGTTGCCTCTACAGGAATTTCTTAGAGTTCTAGAGAGCTCTAGCGCTGCCTCTGCCTCTGCCTCTCTATTACTGCAAAGATTAATGTAGTACATGTAATACCTTAACAAGCTATTTTGCTTGCATAACTACTAGTTTAGCTTCTTTAACTGCTGTTTAAATATAATAGGCTAATGTTTAGAGTTGTTAGTAAGAGATTACCTAGTAGTGTTAAAAAATGCATAAAGTAAATTACAGCAAATTGCAGTAAACTATAGTAAATTGCAGTAAACTACAGCAAATTGCAGCAAACTATAGCAAATTGCACTAAACT